TTTTTTGAAATGCTAATTCATTATTATACCCCTTTAAATTGCCCTGGTTGTGTCACAAGTACTTTTTATTACTGACTAGAGTTCCACTTTAAATATAGATTTAGTAAGTTACGTACTGCTAACAAATATCTGTGTGCATACTTTCTTCCTCTTTCTTCAGTTGCTTACGTGCTTAAAAGACAGTTATTGGTAATGATTAGGCAAGATGGTGACACCAATTTTCTCTGACTAGAAATATCTTTCCCCATCTACCCCCTACTGTAGGCGACATGACTTGTGAGCTGTGACTTGGGGAGTACTTTGTGTACCATAGTATGCAATGTCTCTGGCTCTTGGTGTGGTGTAGCCAGTAGGGATGCAACGAAATTTCGATGGCCGATGGCAGAAATGAAAAAAAAAAAAAAGCACCGCCCCTCGACGCCGCCCACCCCTCGCTGCCTGCCACTGCCGCTTGGTAGTTCTCAGCCTTATCTGAGAAACCATCGATGCCGGTGCTGAGTATAGAGATGAGTGAAGGAAAGATGGCCGCCACTCATCTCTATGCCCTTGGAGGTCCAGAGCGATGCCACTTCCTGTTCGGCCATTTTTTTTTTTTGTTCAGTGCTTTTTTTTTTTGATCCAATGCTTTACATTGCAGAGGACAGATTTGGGATATTATTGACCCCATATCTCTCCATAAAGAGGACCTATCACTAATTATTTCTATCACAAGGGATGCATGGATTTCTTTTGATAAGAATAAAAGTGATTACAATTTTTTGTAAAGGGACAGTGCAAAAGGAAAAAAAAATAATAAAAAAAAATGTAAAATGCTCCCGTCTCCCCGTGCTGACATGTAGTGGTGAACGCATATGTAGGCCATGCCCACGTATGTAAACAGTGTTCAAACCACACATGTGAGGTATCGCCATGAACGTCAGAGCAAGAGCAATAATTCACGCACTAGACCTCCTCTGTAACTTTACACTGCTAACCTGTAGAAATTTTTAAAGTATCACCCATGGAGATTTTTAAGTACCGCAGTTTCACGCCATTCCACGAGCGTTCGCAATTTTAAAGCTTTACATGTTGGGTATTTATGGGGGAATATATTTTTTGTTTTTTCTTTTTAATCAGTATATTTCTTTCCAAAAAATATATATTTACTTTTAAAAACTGCGCATTTCAGTTTTGGTTTTCGTCCAAGTGCATTTTGAATTTTCAGTGTCGGCACCAGAATTTTAATCTCAGTGCACCACTAGTAACCAGACAATCTTTCAGTGCCTATGTACATTTGTATGATGCGATAATGTACCTTATGTTGCACGTTAACATGCATTCCATTAGGGCAGCCCATTGAAAACAATGAGCTGCCAATGCACCGAAATGTACTAAGTATTGGACATGCCACAATTTTTTTTTTTTTTTTTTGTTGTGTTGCAACTGCTGTGCTTAGTGTATTTTGCTATTCAAAATTAATGGCACCGCAACACAGCAGCACATGCAATGTGTGTTTCCAGCATTGAGGTAATTTTTCTTCAATACATTGATGTAAATCGTCCAGAAAAGACTGTCGGAACAGAGAAGTCAAATAGAGGCACAGGCTAGGCATAGATGGGTAAAATTGTCCCCCATCCACACAAGCGAGGTGCATGAAGGTAAACTCCTATCTGCTTCTTCTGACACCGGGACTCCTCTGCTATCAGAATACATCGATTAGCACTGCAGTCTCCTGATCAAGAAAAACTTTCCAACATTCCTGTTTGACAGAAATCGACTTCTGTCGAGCAGGAACAGCCGTAGCTGGATCACAATTCAAGCAGAATTACAATGCATCTGAGCACCACAAACCAAAAGCTCTATTTAATTAATTTTTAATACTCAAAGCAAACTCCCCCATCCATGTCTCCATGGTTTATGTTATGAAATCAATTATAAAATCACCCTCTAGCATTTCTGGCCATCTTAAGTAAGGGCAGATGTTTCATCTAGCATTTATTTCCTAGAATCCATCTGTCCATAGCTGAAGCATGCAGGCAGGAGGGTGTGCTTAGCTGAAAAAACCTCCCCTCCCTCCTGAAGACTCCTGGGATGTACAAAATTATTTTGCTAGGCATGGAAACTAGGAAAGATGAAAAAATGTAAAAAAAAAATAGTAAATGGATAGGAAAGTATATCATATTTACTTGTTGAAAACTAATGCTAACAACATATAGGATTACAAATAGTCAGTGTTGATTGAGAGATTGAAGTTGCACTTTCAGCTGGCCCCTGTTGAACTGCCCAAATTTCAGTCCATCTATGGCCAGCTTAAATACATTATTAGTGGTTGTATTGTGCTTTAGAAGTAAGATGAAGCAGGATTTTTTTTTCTTTTCAACTAGATTCCATTTTTCACCGCTTCCTGTCCAGCGGTGTACCAGTATGTCACTGGATAGGAAGGGTAATATCTTGGTCATCGCTGTGTCTGATCAGCTGCATTGGAGGCCAGAGGAGAGGTCTGGGGACTAATAGACCTCAGATCTCTCCATAAAGAGGACCATTCACAGCCCATGCTGTCATAAGGAATGTTGTTCATTCCTTGTGATAGCAATAAAGTTGATAAAAAAAAAAACTAGACACAACTTAAAAATTTTTTTTTTTTTTTAAATAAAATGTCAAAAAATTAAAGCACCCCTGACCACCCTTGCTCAGCATAATTGCGTACATGCCCGCCGGTACCTCGCATATATGTAAACAACGATCACACCACCCATGTGAGATATCACCGTGAACATCAGAGTGAGAACAACATTTTCAGCTTCTGATCCCATGTGTAACCCTAAACTGGTAACCTTTAAAGTGTTGCCTATGGAGATTTTTAGGATTGTTCCACGGGTGGATGCAGTTTTAAAATGTGACGTTTGGTATCTGTTTACTTGGTGTAACAATATTTTTTATATTTTACCAAAAATTGGGTATTATGTTGTGTTTTGTGCATTAAATTAATTAAAGTATATTTTGTCCTCAAAAATTGTGCTTGAAAAACCGCTGCACAAATGCCGTGTGTCATAAACATATGCAACACTCACCATTTTATTCTCTAGAGCTTCTGCTTAAAAAAGCATATTGTTTAGATGTTCTAAGTAGTTTTCTAGCAAAAAAAAGTTTTTTTACATGTAGGAATGGAATGTCAGAATTGGTTGTAGTTAATATAGTTGGAAGTAGTTAATATAGTTGTATAGCTGTAGTTGATATTAACCCACAACCCCCCCAAAAAACCCCCAAAAAAACAAAACAGGTGTTTTACTAGTCTGGCTGCAATAAAGTGTAAAAAACGAATTTCTGATTGCTTCCTCTGATGCATGGTGCTGCTTTTTTTCCCATTTTTTAGGAAGTACCATGTAATTACTGTTCCATTTGTTGTGAAATTGCATTTTAACACTTTAAAAAAATAGCTACATGTCATACACAGCCTAGCGTTATCATATCTGCTCCGAAACATTTTTTTTTCTTACTTACATGACCATGTTTACTTATTATTATTTATTTATTTACTGCTTCTATTAATAGCTGCGGTACAGAATTGTCGGGCTTTTAGCTGAACTGCATTCAGAGGTTTCCTGCCATTGATTGTAATGTGAATGTGTCTGGGAATGAAATTCAATTATATACAGCTGATTGGCCACCGTCATTGTCCAGATTGATGATGATAAATAGATTACCTAGGGCAGTAGACAGCCAATACCATTGCTCATGTCATATTTCATAATAGGAATGTAAACCTGGCACTAACTGCTTGTCAGGGACACAAATGCATCAGACACTTTAGTCACTTTACAGTGAGGATGCTGATATTTTTAATGTCAACATTTAGACCTGTATGTAACGCCGACCGGTGTTTGAGAATCCCAATTTGACATCCATGAGCTGCATGGCCCTGAATGTAGACTGTGTGCGTCTCAAGCATGGAACATCTGTGCATCCCCGTGCGAGCAAACATGGCCCTCGCAGGGCACACACTATAGTACTCTCGCATGAATCAGGCTTTCAGCAGCACAGTGATTGTGCTTTGCTGCCCCTCTCAGAGTATGTATATCCAACTGAATGAATTTAAACTACTGTTTACAGGGTTTACATATGAAAAGCCCAGTTAGGCTCCATTCACACTTGTGCGACTTCAAAATTGTGCAATTTCCATTGTGACTTTTATAGTGCAACTTGGCGCGACTTTGGATGGACTGGGACAGGGGTCAAAGAGCAGACCATGTGATTGTGTTTTGCAAAGTCGCACACAGGTTGAACACAAGTCATATGTATATCGTTCAGGTGCGACTTTCATGCGACTTTGGAGGGTTTACATTATATAGTTAGTCTGGCTGAAAAAAGACAAAAGTCCATCTAGTTCAACCATAAAAAAAAAGTTATAATCCTATATCCACAATTGATCCACAGGAAGGCAAAAAACCCACCAAAGCATGACCTAATTTGCACCTGCAGAAGGAAAAAAATCCTTCCTGATCCCCCGAGAGGCAATTGGATGTTCCCTGGATCAACTTTACCTATAAATGTTAGTATCCAGTTATATTCTGTGTATCTAAGAAAGAATCCAGGCCTTTTTTAAAGCAATCCACTGAGCTGGCTAGAACCAACTCTTGAGAGAGTCTGGTCCATATTTTCACAGCTCTTACTGTGAAGAAACCTTTCCGTATTTGAACATTAAATCTCTTTTCCTTTAGACGTCGAGTGCCCCCTTGTCCTCTGTGATGACTTGAGGGTGAATAACTCTACACTGAGTTCACTATATGAACCACTGATGTATTTATACATGTTGATCATATCCCCCCTTAAAGTGTTACTAAACCCACAACAGTAAAATCAATCTGTATATGCAGTAAAGCATGCTTGTTATACTCACTGTGGAACCTAAGGGGTTAATTGTCTGCATTGTGAAAAAGGCTGTTTGATCTTTTCTTCTCTACCCCTCCTCTTGTTCAAATGTCCTCGCTGATAAGCCAGACTGAACCATATCCCTTCTGCTCATGCTCAGTTTAGTGTGTATTGCTAGAGGTTTTTTTTTTTCTGGGGAGAGTGCATGTGATCAGCACAGGGCCAATCAGCACTGTCCAGACAGAGGTCAGGAGATTTCCATCCTCCTAGTGAAAACTCCTACAAGTTTTAACCAGTGATCAGCTAAAGTCACAAGACCGCTCTGACTGCTGTTGAGAAAAGGTATTTAGCAGTTTATATTTACTAAAATAATTGTATTTCCATGTACTGTGGGAGACCAGATATAGTGAATGCAGGATCCTGGGTTTAGTAACACTTTAATCTCCTCTTCTCGAGAGAATAAATTCAGTTCTTCTAATCTTTCCTCATAGCTGAGCTCCTCCATGCCTCTTATCTGTTTTGTTGCCCTTCTCTGTACTTTCTCCAGTTCCCCAATGTTCTTTTTGTGAATTGGTGCCCAAAACTGAACTGCATATTCCAGATGAGGTCTTACTAATGATTTGTACAGGGATAATATGATATCTCTCTCTCTGGAATCTATACCTCTTTTAATACAAGAGAGGATTTTGCTCGCTTTAGAAACTGCAGCTTGACATTGCATGCCATTATTAAGCTTGTGATCTACCAGAACCCCCAGATCCTTCTCCACCATTGATTCCCCCAGTTGTACCCCCCCAGTATGTATGATGCATGCACATTGAAGTCTGTCCCTCAAGATGCATGAAGGTTGGACCAAAGTAGTGCAGAAACTACTTTCAAGTCGATACGACTTGAAGTCTCACAGAAATGAATGAAACTTCCTGTGTACACCCATGTGTTTTTATGTGTGCTAAAACTAATCACAGTGCATGAAAACAGCATGACAAAGTATACAGTTATACCCTCTGAAACTGTTCACATCAGCATGTTGCATTAGAGGGCAGTGCGTTGCTTGGTGCATTTTGGTAAAAATGCACATTACGTTATAATCAATGGCAACACAATGAAAAAAACATTTAAAACTCACCATACGTTTTAAAAAGCGTGTTTCTTAAATTACATGCCCATATTTCCCTGGTGCCTGGGATATAAAATGTAAACAAAAGCAACACAAAATACACTTAAAATGAGTCTTGCGGTGCATTACATTTTAAAGAAGTGCATTAAAAACTTGCCAAAGTGTGTTATGCTCTTCTAGTAAAAATTTTCTAATGCATAGGTGTGAATGGGCCCTATAAAACACATTTCCAATTTTTTTTCCGTCATTCATTGAGGGACACCATGCACAACCAGACCAGTGGGTATATACCTTCACCTGACCTCTTTTAGGTGATAGTATATAATTACAGGTCTACTGGAGCATTATGTCCCTCAATAAACTTGGACAAAAAGAAGTTAAACCTACACACCAAAAAATCCTTTTGTGTTTATAGTAGCCCATCAGGATATTTGTTGCAGAAATGCAGCTTGAAGCTCATTGGTTGCTGTAACAAAAAACAGAAAACCTCCAAAACTAGTAAATTACTGGTTAATACCATTGTTGTACAGACCAGCACTCAATGTGAAATCAAATAGAATAGAGACCCCCTTAAAGAACACACAAGGACAAATATTCCTAACAAAAAGAGTGAAAAGAATAAATATTGTAAACTCAAAGCTGACCTTTGAGGTGAAAAAGGAAATAAAAATCAGCCACTTTCTAAAATTAGATGGCTTACTATGGGCTAAGTTCAACGAGGTGCATAGCTCCTTGTGGATTTATCTTTTATTTACAACTGACAATTTTACTGAGCTCCAGGAGTACAGCTCCCTATGTTCCTATCTCTCTTGACAGAAGAGATGCTGCTTTCTAACACAGTAGCATATCTACCTGCCCATCCTCTCCACTGTCCAGTCACAGAAGGCTTTTTTTTTTGAGAATGGGTTCACATCAAGAAAAGCGCTCTGTGATTGGGCAGGATGAGGTTAAGGGCAGGTAGAGCAGCTGCAGGAGCTGAGATTAGCAGGTCTAGCGCTGGAAGTATAGTGATAGCTATGCTCTAAAAATGTAAATTGTGATAGGTCCACAAGGTGGCATGCACCTTACTCGAATTACCCCATAGTAATCTGCACATTTTACAGAGTGGATGAATTCCTGAAGTTCAACTTTAGTTCATGAATATCTACTAAGTAATCTTTATAAAATTTTATTTAGGGAGCATATTATTATTTAAGGGATTAAAACACTAATATTCTGCTAAAAATAGCCATCTTTTATTTACATGAGATGAGTTTATAGTTTGTTATAATGGAAATTGTTAGCCCCAAGTGGGTCATAAGGTATGTCAGTATTGCTTGTTCCGCCATTATGTTAAAATATACCTTCACAGGCGTAGGGATGTAATTTTTTTTTTTTTTTTGAAGGAGTACAACAATAAGATTATATATAATTTTTTGGGATGATTTACAAAGTGGAGCAAAAACGTATTCATCTAATTTGTATGGAAGAAATTTGGTCCCATATGCAAGACTGGTGACAGTTTAGAAAATTCAGGTGTATGTAAACCCTAATAAATATCTACTTTTCTATGGTCCCTATGGGTTAAATATGTCATTGAAAGTGTTTTGTTATATTTTTTGATATATTAAAAAAAATACCTCTTGATTGTAATAGAAGTCTTGTGAGCTGATAACTTGCAGTGCTCTCACTTGTGTTTTTATCAGTTGCGTTGTTTTCAGCTTTGTCTGTTAACTACAGAATTGTGTTATGGAAAATAGGAGAGGGGTGGGTATCTGTAGCTTTTTAATGTTTGTGATATCCTGATAGGGACAGAGTGAGTGTTGTAATCCTAGGGCTAGAAGAGAAAAAAGAACAGGAGAAAAGAAAACGAATGCAGCCATCACATCTACAGCTGGTTAGCTGAAAAATATTAAATGTTTGTTTTTGTTTTTTAGATTCACTTTTAAGTTAGAAATTTACTGTTTTTCCATGAAAAACAGACTAAATGTTTTTCTCTGTTTATTAAACAGCCCCAATGTTTTCTGTATGTGGTGCAAATCAGTATATTGGTGCTGTTTTGGCTGAAAGTGAAATTCATTTAAAAACACAATTTCGATTTAAAAAAGACAAAGGTGATAGAGTGGTTGCTATCTGCATGGGAAGGTTAGAAGAAACCTGAATTGTTGCATGTAGTATACACAAGAGAGGGGAAGGAAAGAGCAGGCAGCCAGGAAGTCTGCTTGGGAATATGTAATGCTGAATATTTCACCAGCTGGGTAACAGAAACATTTTCTTTCTCATGCTTGTCTAGCTCGGGCTGTAGATGAACAAATCTATCAGAAAGAATAGCAAAGCATCCTGTTGACACGTGATTCTGAAGAATGTCCATGGTCAGTTATTAAAAGTACATAAAATAAAAGCAGAAGGTTCCTGAATAAAATACTGGCAAGGCAAATAAAATGACAAATTCAGTTTTCTCCATGACACATCAGTAACAGAGATTCCCACTGAAGGAAGAGCTTCTTGAAGAGATTCCTGGCTGCCTCCACCCTCAGAGTCTAGACACTCATCCTCCTTCTCCTGGCTGGTCCATAGTGGGAATCATGAATGAATGGAGAATCTAATGGCATGAGCATAGCACAATTGTAATAGTGTTTCAGAGGATTTTGACAACACAGACATTCAACCTACCAGAATTAAATTTCATATGAAAAAATCGCACAGCACTGAACCGCATGTGAATCGCACAGGAATGTGCAGTGATCCTAGTGTGAACAGACCCTAAAGCAGAATCCTCTAAACGCACGAAAAACTAATCTGGGAAGCATATAAGTTGTTTATAGGTCATGGATGGATATAAAATACACTTAAAAACGTGTTATAGTCCTGCTGCTCAGTATCAGCTGTATAAAAATCCTATTCAGACAGACAGTGGTTGTAAAGGCTCAGGGTTTTTTACCTCCATGCATTCTATGCATAGTGGTAAAAAAACCTTCTGTGTGCAGCAGCCCCCCTTAATACTTACCTGAGCCCCATCATGATCCAGCAATGTGCACAAGAACCTCGACTCTCTGGGGAATCTCCCTCCCCAATGGCTCCTTCTGCTGTCAATCACATCCAGTGAGCCAATGAGGAGAGAGAGAGGGTGAGGCCATGCCATGGCTGTGTGTGAATGACCACACAAAGCAGCGGTTCGGGAGTGAGCCTGCTTGGGTGCCCCTATAGCAAGCTGCTTGCTCTGGGGGCACTTGTACGGAAGGAGGGGCCAGGAGCGCGCCGGTGGGGGACCAGAGAAGAGGAGGATCGGAGCTGCTTTGTGCTAAACCATGGCACAGAGAAGGTAAGTATGACATGTTTGTTATTTATTTCTTTTTATTGGCTTTAATATCACTTTTAACCCATAAATTACAGAAAATGATATTAACTGCATAATGCCTCACCCTAAATTAATATCATAAATCTACAAAATTCTGAAAATGTATAACTTCATATGAAATAAACATCAAACAAATCACTGATTTGTATGAAATGTTTGATACTCATTTTGTTTATCTTGTATGAATTGATATATTTTCGGAATTTTTTTTATATTAATTTGTGGTGAAGAGCTATGCATTTTATTTCATTTTCTGGTAGGCTCTGTAATTGCTTGATCAATGGATAGACATAGCAGTACTTGCATCCTTGTATCACCCAAGTGTGCCTGTGTGTGCACAAACTAATTTTATATATATCTCAGGGAAGCTGCAGAGATGAACTTGGAGACTCCAATGTAACAACATTATTAGTTCTTTAGTTAAAAAAATGTTTCTTCTGAGTTTTTCATATGTATGCAATAATGCTCAGCTTAAGACCATATCTCAATTCCATCTTTGCATTGTCTACCACAAAAACTTGGTTGCAGTGGATAACATAGTGCAGAACTAAAGATGCTTTACAGAATAAGCAAGGAGTTCTGGCACTGCACAGTTACGTAGTTACATAGTTAGTCTGGCTGAAAAAAGACAAAAGTCCATCCAGTTCAACCATAAAAAAAGTTCTAATCCTACACCCACAGTTGATCCAGAGGAAGGCAAAAAAATCCAGCAAAGCATGATCCAATTTGCTCCTGCTGGGAACAAATTCCTTCCTGATCCCCCGAGAGGCAATCGGATATTCTCTGGATCAA